TGTTGTCTATGGCTGCTTTTGAGGTATAGTAGCAGCGTTGACCAGTTGCTACACAGACCGCGTGGCCCAGAAATGTACTGTAAAACCTGAAATACTGGCTACCTGGCGCTTTACAGAGAAAGTTTGCCGAACGCCATGCTAAATGATTCTAAGTTCAGGATTATTGCATATCACTTTCGGTTTTGGTAGTACAGCTATTATCTATGCCACTAAATTATATTCAAAATGCAAAGGGCATTTTCAACAAGAGAACTTTAAAAGAGTTTTACATGCTGGCTCATCCTTAGATGCAGGGAGAGAATCTTAGGCTTGTAAGTGAATTCCAAGGGGGTTTTACCAAAAACGTAAAGAAAAGACATTTATTTTCTCGTAACTATGCTTTAGTATTTGATTGATTTATATTTTAAAATGTCTTAAATTTGATGATAAAAATAATTAAAAGAAAAACTGTAGCTCTATAAAGGCTAATAAAGAAAATGCCAGCCTGCCTTCAAACATGCTAAAATTTACTGTCTTCAGAGAGCAAGTTTTACATAACTTCATGCCTGAATTAAGATGGAAAAAGAAAAGTCATAATAACCAATCTCAAATTAATAAAACTTTAATTGATAGAGCCCACATTTAAAGTTCCAGCCATACTGATTGGTTAGGGAACTATAAAAAACGAGAGAAGGCGGGCTTCTAGCCCGCGCTTCCTCCCAGGGCTCATGTAAATCCACATTTAGCTTCCTCTAGTCTCTTCCTTTCTTCTCTAGCTTCCCTTCCTTCAGCTATACAGGAAAGTATCAAAATGAATTTATAAATGAATATATATATATACACACACACACACACACACACACACACACACACACACACATATATACATATATATACACACACACATATAAAATGAATATATATATGTATATATATCCCTCCCTACTTTTTCCAAAGTAGTTTTAAATTTTAGAAAAGAGGAAATTGAATTAAACTAGTTACACTGAGGTCCTCTTTTACAGAGCTTAATGCTCATGAATCTGTATGTGAAAAAGCTGACCGATACCGCTTTAGCTCAGAGAAACCTGTTAATTCATACATTTAAAATAACACCAGGGGTAGGTGAGCATCGATACATTAGAGGACTCTGTTAGTTTTCCTTCCAGTTATTCACTCATTTATTGACCATCAAACATTTATGGAGCTTGCGCTGAACCTGGAATCATGGTAGCTAATGGGAAATGATGAAGACACCAGTTCTTCTCGTGAGGAGCATGTAGACTGGTGATTGAAGCGGGTGTGTATCCAATATGTGTCTGATAACAAGACCATGTTCCAAACACAATAGGAAATGGAAATAAAGACCCGAACTGTGGAACAATACCATAAGCAGGGTCGCTGCCGGTCATACACTCAGGCTAGTACTGGGTAGTTTTGGAAAGTGTAAAACCCTGCTAATCACAATGACCCGCAAGCTACCTGAGGCTGGTGTCTGCTCAGTAGATGTGATGTCGAAATGAAGACTCAGAAATAAAAACAAATGTTAACTTTATTCCTCCTCGTTATGCATCTCGTATTTGTAATTAGAGACTTATTTGCAACTGGACATATTTCCAATGAGAAAGTCAATCAATTGCTTGTCAGAAATGTCCTAAATATTCACACACAATACTTATATAAACAAAGGAGGAGATAATCTAAGAGTTAAGATTTTTTTTCCTCTTCTAGATGCTTTGTTTTTATTGAAAGACTCATATTACTCAGAATGCCTGTTTCCTTTTTTTTGTAGCCATCTCAACAGGTCATTGTTTTAAGGTGCTGTTAAGTACGGCTGTTGGGCCCAGATTGACTGTTTTAAGTTCGTACTTTTCTCTCATTGTCTTGAGAAAAGAATACTTTCTTTTCTGAGGAAGAGATGGCTCCTCCTTATAAATGTGTTTATTGTCCTTTAACTGGCAAAAGTTAAAAAAAAAAAAAAAGAAAGAGAGAAAAACACAATCCCAGAAACACAGTGCAACCACCAATATGATTTTAATTTATAAATCATGGGTCCTTTCCCATGCCTGTGCCAGCAAATGTTATAATTACACTGGGTGGACATTTCTATATTTCCTTCCCACCACCTCAATTCTCTGTCATGGTCCAACTTTTAAGCCGCTACGATGCCCATATAACCATCACTCCCTATGGCAGCAAAACGTAAAACACGTGCGGTACAATTCACCAGACCATTCATGGAAGCAGCACTGAACTTGAACTTGCCTAGTTCTTTATCTTTTCTTGAGCATCTACCCGAGTCTTCTTCCTAAAGGAAGAAGGTTGTTCTGGGCTGCCTACTACCTGTTTTCCTGCCAAGCCTCCAATTTGAAATCCTGTAGCACATTTTTTTATTTTTCCACGTAGCAGTGTTATATCTCTGAGGCCTGTGACCATTTAGTTTTCTGCTCCATTTCTTCTCTGTTTAGACACTGCCATGCCCCGTCCTACATACTAATTACTGACTTTTTGCTTCTGCAGTGCTTGATTCATTGTGTCACATTTTCCCATGTGAAAGTGGACCAGAAACCTTGGCAAGGAGGTTAATGGATTTAAGAGTCACTCTTATTTAACCCTTGAAGTTGCGGCTGACTCATTTTATCAACCAGGTGGTGGTCAGCTGCACTGCAGACTAGTATCAGAGTCTATCACGGTGGAAGGGCCCACAAGAGCTGAACAGGACTGAAGAAAAACACTTCCTCTTCCTACCTTTACAGCTCAAAACTGGGTTCAAACGATTGATCTTGTTACTATACCTGTAATGGGGCCGCATGCCGAGTGGAAATAACCCCAGAGTGGGAGTTAGTACGCATGGATTTTAGATTCTGGCGCTCATTAGATTGCATAAACTTCCTGTATTATCAAATCCACTTCCTGGATCTCAATTTCCTCATCTTTAAAATGAGGCTATTTGACCAAATGATCTTTACCATCCTATCTGGCTCTAGGAGTCTATGATTTAAAGAGCTCTGTTCATTTATTTAAAAACAATTTATTTGACCCTGTTATTTTCTAGTCACTGTGCTAAGGACTGTAGATACAAATTCAAAATCTTAAACAAGGAAGAAATTTACATTTTCTTTCTGAGGACTCTGTGAGGGGTAATCTTAACTTTTAACAGAAATTTTACGACATTGTTTTTTCTTTAGAGTTCACAGGATGGGAAGCCGGTCTTAAAGCTAAGGCTGTAATTAGTCTCAAGGGGAGATTGGAAAGGACTGCTTACCTCGTTAAAATAAAGTCTTCAATTAAGCTGTATAAAGAGAGAAGGAGAGTGGATTAACCTTATCAGTGTCACCACCAAATCCTTTAGCCATTCATCGCCATGAGCTAATAATAAATATTGAAGATGACTTGTTATTCACAGATTTCCTCTTCCAATTCTCTCTCAGTGGCAACTTTGGAAGAGTACATTCCATTATGGCCTACCAGATGAAGCTTCTCTTGACTTCACGCAGGCTTCCAGTCAACGCCTTCTTCCTTAGGAACTGACCAAATTTTCCTCAAACAATCATTACAAATAAATTTGAAGTAGGATACAGTGAACAAGAAATCTAAAATGTTTGTTAACCTTACTTTGGCTCTTTTCTTGGAAGACCAAAATACAAGAGAGGAGAGAAAAAGAGAAGGTTTTCCAGTTGTTGCATTGAGTAAATATTTTTCATTAGAATGTGGCAGGCATCTTTTAAATCTTTGGAACCAGCTCAGACCAGAAAAACCTCTCTCTCCTCCCATTCTGACTGTCTCTCTGAATGTAACTTGTGTCACAACCTCTTGGTTCATAAAGTCTAATAGATAGCAAGAAGCAAGAGGGTTCATCATGGTTCTATACTATTAGTATTATTATCATGATTATTCAATCAATCGCTGTGCTGTTTGAGACCAGTTGTAATGTTTCAAAACGGCCACCGCCACCAATTCCTGTTTCAGAAACTCTTCGATGTCCGTGGGAATATGAACAGGTTTCCTCCGCTCTCCGAAAGCAAAGAGTTCACTTTGTTGGCATAAAGTGAAGAAGCAATCACCTTGGGGCACATCTCGCTAAGGGGATGCACAGGATATAGCACCGAAGCTGACAGACACAGTTCAGAGCTGTGGTGACTTGCCGCTGAGATGCTGGCTATGGCTCCCAGGGGAGGAATTTGATGGTGTAGGGTGTGTACTGCCTCTATAATAGCTCGTGGCTACACAAATACTGAACACTGTTTTTGGTTTTCACCTTTTTTTTTTGTAAAAGTGAAAAACCTCTTTGGATTTCTTTTGGACAGCGATAACAGGTATTAATGTAGGTCTTTCGTAAAAGCAAAGCAGTGGGAAGCAAACTTTCGAAAAATGGGGTATACTTGTATGCTTAAAAAAAAGCATGCTGCTTCCCTGGCCAGTTGTAGGACAGATTGTGGGGCGCGGGAGCCTTCGTATAATACCTACGTTGAGTTGAGATCTTTAAAAAACAGTACCTTCCTTCAACATCTGGGCAACCAAGATAAACCAGTTTCTCCTAATTACCCATAAATAGTTTAATCCTCAACTGCTATGTTGAAATGAAGAGGCGTAGCTATACGATTCAGTTAATTTTATTTCATATTGATGACACAGCATACTTAGGAATCATCATTTATCTCCAAAAGTGGTACATAACTCGTAATTTACCAGAGTCCCACTGCAGCTCTGGGAGCTAGAGTAACATTTGCATGCCTATTTTTCAGATGATAAGATCAAGACTCGATAAGTTATATTTCCTGTCACTCCAGAGAGAAAGCCTGAGTTTGGAGCTCATTTGATGTAGGGTTGCTTCACATCTCTAGATTCGTTTGCATAGAAATGAAAATGGCACACGTCCAGACTTCTATTGTTCTTTTTAAAGATCTTTTCTGCTTTTTGTTTTCTCTGCTACATGGGTCCATCTTACTTATTATATAAGCTCAGAAATTGTAAAAGGATCATTCCAGTTCTTGGTGTAACAGTATGCTTTTTTCTTTCCCCAGGCCCTCCATCTGCTCCCCTGAACTTGATTTCAAACGTCAACGAGACTTCAGTGAACTTGGAATGGAGCAGTCCTCAGAACACAGGTGGCCGCCAGGACATCTCCTACAATGTGGTGTGTAAGAGGTGTGGAGCCGGTGATTCCAGCAAGTGCCGGCCCTGTGGAAGTGGGGTCCACTATACCCCGCAGCAGAATGGCCTGAAGACCACCAAAGTCTCCATCACTGACCTGCTGGCTCATACCAATTACACATTTGAAATCTGGGCAGTGAATGGAGTGTCCAAGTATAACCCTAGCCCAGATCAATCAGTGTCCGTCACCGTGACAACGAACCAAGCAGGTAGGAATCAGATCCACTTCATTGTATGACCTAAATGTGTATAGAGAATGAGCTTGTGTTGATATCCGTAAATGATAAAAATTTCTGCAATTGAAGTAGAACTACATGGATCTAATTATAAACCTGGGAGCTGTGTTATAATATAAACAATATTTAGAGGGGATGTTTATTCATTCAGCAAATTTCTTTTGGGCATCAGCTGCATAGCATGCCCTGTACTAGGTAGTAGAGATTAAATGAAGACCAAGACAATGATGGAAACCAGAAGACAGTCCAGTGAGCTGGGTCACTCCATGCTGAACTTTTCTTGTAAGGGATTCATTCGTATTGGCCATTTTAATCACAAGAGTCACGGTTGGACATTAGAGCATTTACAGATTATTTAGGATTATAAACTTGATTTTTACCAATCTGTGTCGGTATATTGGTATTTGCTGTATTTTCCAACAAAAATATTAGCAGCTATGGTTTTGATCTTGTTTTTTATTTTAAAATTTAAAAAGTAATTGACACGGATCTATACTAGAATTGCCATGTAAATCTGTGAACAGTGAATGGTTAATGGGCAGCTCGATCTGTGTGGTTGATGAAATTTTCCTTATAACTCATACTGCTTTTTCAGCCACTTTCATCGTTGAATCCACAATTGACACCTGGGGAGAGGAAAGTTAATTTACCCCATTTCCTGCATCTCTTTCCTTTTGTAATAGAGATGACGAGAAAACATTTTTTTTTTGTTCCTGAAGAGTTTCTGCTGAGTTAATGGCAGAACTATTACAAAATCTTGAATATCAGATGTTTCAAAGTGCAAAGTAGAATCTAGATTTCTAGGCTCCAACTCCCGACCCACTCATTCCCATTTCTCCCCTAAAAGAGTTCCCACACGTTCTCAAGCTAATTTTCCATTCTGTATTTCTGCCACATGTTTCACATTGCTGGCTGCTCATTACTTATTTCTGAAGAGTTTAAAGAGGAGCAGGAAAAAGGACTGTGGTTTATCCTTTTGTGAGGCTCTTAAGAACAACAAACTTTGCTGGAAAAGGATTATAGATTGCCAAGAATCCTATCACGTCTTATTGCATTTTCCTTTCAAATGAATGTTTCAGTAAGTGCACTCAATAGTTAAGTAAAATATATCTGTACTAATTGATCTATAGTGAGAAGTATTCTAGTATCCCAATTCGAAGCCATTATTTTTCCACTTTCCCCTGAACTCTCTAGAATAAATTAAAAGTTAATACTTGGAGAAGATTTTGAACTGAAGCTAGGATGGCAATTCTTTCCCGAAGGCAGGTCGTCTGGTGATGGCTTTGTCTTTTATTTCTGCACTTTTAAATTGTGATCATGGTTAGTGGTAATTGGTTTTATTTTTCTACGAAGACTAGGATGATTTAGGAGAGCATCACGAGTACTCTGTGATGGCCAGCTTTTTATTAGTTCTCTTTTGGAAAAATGCAGTGGACATCGTGTACATAGATCCTGGGAAATGCATTGGTGTCGCTGGTGTCTCTTAGTTAGAAAAGAGCCAACAAGTTGCAGCGCCATCTCCGCAGCCCCTAGAGAATCTGACCCGTAAGCCAATCGATATTTTTATGCTCAGCTCGGAAGTACCTTTTCAGCTACGCTCAAAACACATCACTACTTTGTGTTCTTAACTGAGTTAAAACAAGGAATGAACATTTTGAGGCTTCAGTGTACAAGATGAAGTCATTCTTTTTGGCAGAGAATGATCTCTGGGAGACGTGCTGAGGACAGGCTTGGCTCCCACAGATTTTGTGGGGAGACTTCTGTGACTCTCCTCTGTATACCTAAGGATTTAAGCCAAGGGATTATGTCAACTCCCCCGGGGTCAGAAGGTGCAAGGAGCTCAAGGAAGAAAGGTTCAAGACCCCCCGGAAGAAGAAAATGTGCAAAAACATTACTAGAGAGGGAAGTAAAAAGTCAAAATTTTATGAAAAATGTAGGTGTAATTCTTTTCGATCTAGGAGCAAGGTGAACGGGATTCCTCTGACACAATGAGGTTGCTTTCTCTGCCATGGCGAGCGGTCCTGCCAGGAGGTTTGCTGAATAGGACAAAATTCCAGCTCCTTATTTTAATTTTCATGAAGGGTAGTGCTGGGAAGCTGTTCAAAATTAAAAATAAATCTTTCAATAAGGAGACCTCCCGTGTGGCCAGCCAGAAAGCTTTCTCTTAGCAGAGTGTTGTATATGGGCACTGCCTTGTTATCCTACTGTAATTTGGAGTAATTCACTAATTCAAAAGCATCGGGGTAGTTTATCTTTGATTAACAAACCCTTTCTTCATAGTAGTGTAAATTAATAATGTAGGCCAAAATTTTGGGTGAATGTAGCAACCATTAAACTCTATCCAAGCTCCCCTAAGCATATTTACATATGCACGATTATATTCTAATTCTAGTCTTTCTTATCATTTTATTAAATTAAATTCCTTAGGGGCCTTTATAGGCAATGATATCTCACTCTGTGAGGAATACACAGAATAAATGAACATTAGCGTTTACCACCTGGAGGCCCACAGTTTGTGGCTCTCCATTTTGGCTCGGTTTTCATAGAGTCCCTTCTCTCATCTGTAACTTATTTAGGAACAAGCAAGCAAACAAACACAAAACTTCCCAGAGTTCCTGGCTTTGTCATTACCTCCTCTGAGGCTTTTGAACAGTTCCACAAAGATAAAATGACCTCCCCCACCCCCTCCCCAGCTAATGTCAGAGCCAGAACCTCTTGAAATCAGGGAGAGCCTTGCTGTTTCTTCTAAAATTATTAGATAATTAATAGCACTCGTGTATTCAGCTTGGTATTCTCCCCATTTGTGAGGGCAGACTCTGAATATCCGGGCATGGAGATGTAGTTTTAACTGGGCTTTGATCCCTTACTGGGATGGGGGTGGGTGGGTTTTCTCACATGCTTGTTTAAGCCATTCTAACCTACATCTTTCTGTGGTGGCGTCTTAGAGGCTATTAACACCTTTTTCCTCCCCTCCTGAGTTCAAAACTGGTTGACCCCTAAGATGAGACAAAGGGAACTCAGAATGTCAGCTTTGTTGCTGATCATCTGATGGAAGAATGTGAGCTTTATTATCTGTGGCCAAAAGGGCTGGCTCTAGTGACACTTATCCAGTGTCACCCAGAGACAGCCTGGCCCCCTGCAAGGGTAAAGCCAGCACCCCTAAGTTTGAGCAAATGGTTGCTCTATGCAGGTACAAGAGAGTAGAGAGGGTTGATGTGAGACATAGTAGAAGAGAATTCTCCCAGATTCTCTCCATGAGCTAAGCCACCCTCACCTCTATGCTAAGATCAGTGAAGGAGAAATGGGAAGAGGGGCAGGGTGGGACCTCCAGCTGAAGTCACTCCAGAATAAAACGAGGAAAATGAAAGTCCTCCCTACAGTTACTTTCTGACATTACAGTCCAAAAGGAACAAAGCGAGTTTCTCTTTGAAAACACTTATTTCCCTTGCTCCATTTTCTATCCTCTAGCAACTGTTCTGCTTTTTGTTTAGGAGGAGATGGTTCTGATGTTTATGAAAAATGAATAAGCAGACTGCTGGGTGATTTGTTTTCTAGATGGCTTTCCTTCGGTTTACTTTTACTTAAGTGGACCATCTCAGGCAAATAAATACAGGAAGTGTCACTATGTGTCACCAGGAGAGAGAAATGCTGTATAGATGAAATAAGGTTTTCCTGGCCGAGCAACGGAACTGTGAATATTTTTGCTAAAAATGCTGCAATGGCGGCCAGCAGATCTTAATATCACCGAGCCCGTTTTCACCATGTACCCCCAATTCTCTCGTACCTGTCTCCCAGCTCCAGGGATGGACCATACTCTAGATTGTTTCGTTGGTGTTCTATACAAACCCCTAATTTCACCCAGGGGCAGGGATGACTTTTTTTTATTTTAGTTGGCATGACAATGTTCCCTATACTTTACAGAGCAATACATCTGGTAACCTCTCTTTAAGCAAAGCTATTGTCTCCTAGTGACAGATGCCTTTAACACCTTGAGTTTGCAGGAGTTAAAAAAAGTTGATGGATTACATAATTATTTGAACCTAGCTAATCTCTAAGATCTTTTCCAATCCTAAAATTCCGTGATTCCAAGAATATAGACATAAACTATGAGCATGAAGTAGAGCTTATTTCTCTATGATGTTCAAAAACTGTCTCTAAACGCAATTCTAAGAGTGGGGGAAAAAAATCTAAAAATGCTTCAGCAGAATTATCAGAATGTGTCTGAATCCTGCCCTCCCTTCACCCTTCCAACCCCCACCCTGCCAAAGTATTTACTGGAAAGGGCAAGACAATAAGCTAGGTGTACCTCTAGTGTAGTTATTCCGGCCCCTCCCCAGACATTGCCAAATGTCTGGGGACATTTCTGGTTGTCACTACTGGGACGAGGGGATGTGCTATTTCATCTAGTAGGTAAAGGCCAAGGATGCTGCTATATCTTACAAAGCATAGGACTCTCCTCCCACCCCCCACCCCCAGCAGAGAATTATCTGGTCCAAAATGTCTATAGTACCAAGATTGGGAAACTCTGCTCTAGTGATGTTTGAAAAACAGATTCAGTGATTTCATAGCAATGTCCACCTTCGAAAGGTTCCATCACCATCCTGTCTTTGTTTGGTTCCATTTTTCTGTGCTGGGAACATGATGCTGTCAATACTGTTTCCAGTAATAAATGGTCCTTTGGGACCTCTTATGAAGAACCCCAGTTGCTCTGCCATCAGATGAACTGGTGCTGCTTGTTAGACTCACCTTGTCCTTTAGGATACACAATTAAAAAAAAAAAAAACTGTCAGAAAATGCAACACCAACAGTAAAGTCACAGGACGCCTCATTGTGATGCCACGGCATAGCACATGGTAGATGTTCAATACTTGTTTGTTGATCAACATATTTATTTACAGTAAAAACAATCAGTGAACTCTATTTATCAAATAGTGATAAACTTAATAAAACCAAAACAATGAGTAGAGAAAAGA